ATATATATATATCCACTCTGTTAGGCGGCTCGGTGATCTCAGTTCTTTTTATTCTTATATGCTGGTAAATTCTGTATTTTTTGCTTTAAAAATGATTGAATTATGTTGTTTTTATCTTCTGGTCCCCCTCCCCGAGGTCGACGCAGACAATTCTGTAAAGCTACTGGCTAGGATCTGTACCTAGGCAGTCTCGACCACGGGGGTATAAAATCAAAAGCTTGGCATCTTGGAGCCCGGAGTGGTAGCATAGGAGAGTTTTTTTCTCTTGGGGAACGATGACTGACGGCCCTCCCCTTGCCTAATGTAGGGGTTCTCAGCTGGGTCTAGTCCACATAGTGTCGTATGACGGAGCACGATAATAAATCTTCTATAAATTAAGTATTTATTCCTTTAATTAATCTGTCTGCAATAGTTATAAGCACAAAGCTGAAAGTTTACTTTTAGTCCCACTCGGCAAAAAGGCACTGAAGGTGCAGAAACTGACTTAATTCACTGTCTATTATCTTATCTATTGACTTAATTCACTGAATTATTAATAATTTAAATGTTGTTTATGTGCGGTTATGCCTAACTTAGCAGCCATATTTGTTTACATATGAAACTTAGCAGACAGTGATATAAGTCAGTTTCTGCACCTTCAGTGCCTTTTTCCCGAGTGGGACTAAAAGTAAACTTTCAGCTTTGTTCTGAAAAATCGGCCTTTTTACCCGCTGGCCGAATTGCTTGTTTTTTGCGTAGAAACTCTAACTTTAATAGCAAAAGATTTTTCTCAGTTGTTTTAACTGTATTTGGTGCTTTATGTTTTTCTATATTTTCCAATTTTTAGCGAAGATATTTTGAGGTTTTATGTATTTTTGACTTACCCCGAAGTGAGGACTTAAGTAACTGAATGAGAAATATATCTCTATTGGAATTCGAGGAAATAAGTTTAAATGAAATGCAGCAAAAATGCGTATAATTCAACAGGCTGTACAAGGAAGTCATGTGGTGTCTGCATCTGATTATTTTTATACCGGGTGATTAAAATGTCGCCTAGATCGGACTTTAAAAAAATTGAAGAAAAATCTGAAATGGATAATATTGGTGATCTCAACCCAATAGATGATAGGCCTATACTATTATAAGTAATATATCACTTGAAATTTCGGTAGCAGTTCATGCTGTAAATTTTAAAAACCGTTTGCCAGGTGATAGATGAAGATGAATTTTCCACAAGCAGAATGAATTTATATGATTGAACGTTATTTCGCAACACGTTCTTATGCAAAAGTGTTTTCCAGATTTTCCTGAATCTAACAAGACAATGATTTTTTTCTTAGTAATCTGATTTCGAAACACTATAAGTATTCAACGTTACGAAAGGTAGTGGCCACCTTTTGAGTTCGGACAAGTCAGGATTAAAATTTTACAATCACTAGCAAAGAATTTAAGAAAAATGGGATGGCAATCAAATTTATGATTTTCAAATTAATGTTCAACTGTAAATACTTTTCTGCTTGTGAAAAGTCATCTCCGTCTTGCACATAACCGCATAATTTGCAATTGAAATTTCAAGTGATATGTTACTTCTATAAGGGTATCATTTGAAGCAATTTCCTATTACTTAAAATTATTTGCCATGGGAATTTCGGAATTTCCACGATTTTAAAGTTCATTGTGAACGACTTTTCGGCCCTCTTCATACATACTGCATTTCATTGCGTAACTCTCCCTTTTTTTCCCTAATTTTATCGTCCGAAAATTGAAAGGAGAAAATTAAACAAATAATTTAATTTTCGAACAAAGTGATTTATAGTAAGAACGTAAATAAATTAAAAATAATCATGGATAAATTACACGTAATCATCACAATATTATTTCTTTAAAAGAATACATTGTAATATTAGAAACAACAGCCCGCAAGTTCTTGTTTCTGTTGTAATTAGTAAGTAAGAATGTTACCACGGTAGTTATTTCCCCTATTTAATTGATGCTTTACGTACTAATTGTTATAAAAATGCAAAAAAGCGCTAAGAAATGCGCAAAGGATTTATTTGTATCTCCTGTTTGTGCCTTTAAAACGACTGATGATACAGTGTTACGTAATTATGTTTAAAATATGTTCAGAGAAAATTTATGGTTAGTGTTTACGTTCCATTGAAATATAAGTTAGGAAGTAATAAAGTGTAACACCAAGAGCATAAATATAACCCAGGCTCGTTAAGTACCCCCATAATGACACTAACAAATTGAGTTTGATGACTGAAATAACCTAATATTTTCTATACGTGTTTTTTTTAACCGTTCGGGTATTCAGTTGTTCATTTTGCGATATAAAATTACACACCATTCCGTATACCATAGGGGAAAATAACTCAGAGACTTGAGACCCCGTTATCTAGAATCTTTGTTCCTAAAGTTCTGCTCCAAGTAATCTTCTCACTTGGTATCCGATATTTCGCTATTGAGTCCCGAGTTTCCAGTAAAAAGCTAAAATGCCTCGCTTTCGAAATTGACGCCTTGGCATGTGTTTCAGCTTCGATAGCTCGGAAATGCATTTATTCCCTCGCCATCTTCTCCCCTATCAAGGTTACTGTAAAGTTGTTCTTGTCACCAAGGCGCGCCAAATAGTATAATCTAGAAAAGATTCTACTACGCATCTTCCTCTTCATACTAAAGTTCATAATTCTTATGTTGCATATTTGTTTCCAACCATAGAAATAAGGACTGTAGGCCAGTGATTGAATGTCAGTTTTAAAACTGTAGACAACACAATTTTCTTGAATTCCATTTATTTTTGAAGCAATAAAGTTAACTTCTAATTGCATTCAGTAACCTGTTATAAGCCTCTATATAAACTTTTGTTTTTTCCTCCAAGTATTAAAAATTCCATACCGAAAACAAAGAAGAGCTCCATCTTTTCTCAGTGAATTCACATGAGCTACAGTAAAAATCGTATTCGTGCCTCAATAAAGTTACAGCTGGAACATTCGCATATATTCTTAAAGAAACTTTTGAAAATTGTAGAATTTTTTTCCATTGGAGATATACGTAAATTGAAACGGTTTGGAAGACATAGCTTCCGCTTTCTGCGTTGGCTTGTCTTTTTCAAAATGGATTTTTATTTTCAGTTGTTCTTTAAATGTAACATGTAATGAGATGAGTCAAAAAAAATAAATAAATAAAAAAGAAGCAATTTAAGATGATGCATCTATCTGGAGATTTAATGCTTATATACGTCATCATTCCATAACATGCTTAAAAACTGAACCAAATGCTTGCTTACTGAGTACATTCGTAAAAATGTTTAAGCATCTGCTGAAATAGAAATATCAAAGATTCTTGACGTTCATTATTTCGAAGGTTTTCAAAATCTGAGTAATTTCATCCTTTAAAATAATAATTTAGAATTACGTTTATACTTCTGCCTAAGTTTATTACCACTAATTTTAATAAAAATAGTATTACTGCATTGTTTGCAAGCATTTCTACGCTGTCCACTTTCTAAAGAGCTAAATTAAATAAACTGTTGTGAATTGCTTATAATATTTAAGGCTTTCCAAATATATATGCATTTCATAGTTATGTGTTTCGAAATCTTTACCTTTGAAATTAGTGAAGACGGTCATATTCTTGTAGTTTTAAAACTAGTAAAATACAGCATGCCATTAATATTGGAGAACGGAATTTGGCTTATATACATGAGAGCAAAATAACTTAAATTTTAATTTAAGCAAGCAGAATGAAAGTTCTTTCTTCTTATTCCTATTATACTTTTCATGTGGTTCTGTGTCTCCAGGAATAGATACTGGAGTGCTGAGAGTTTTCCTATGAAAAAATATACTGGTTTGAAAATTAAAGCGAACATGCCTGAGAGATTTACGAAATTTTGGAATGACAACAAATTTTACGTCGGTGATAGAACCCAATATAAGTTTCTTTAACGAAAAGTGAGGTAAACGAAGGAGATATTTTAAAATGTAAGATTTGTGAGGAGCCGTGCTTTATTTAAACGTTTCCAGACATATCGGAAGTCTTCGCAAAGAGCTTTGTCGCCAAATATGATGCCTGCATTGTCTACAAAACTGGTAAAGCAGTCTATGAGTGATTACTAAGTTGTCCCTCTGACTGTTAAATTGCCATCATCATTACAGTCATTATTGGCCCCGTCTAGGGAATCCTCACTGTGTTTTATGTGATTCATTTTGACAATTTTCAATAGTTATCTTCGTTCTCATATGTCACGTTGGGGTGGGATTTAAAATCACTCAAACCCTCGAAAAGGGGACCAGGTGTCGTGTTGATAAAAAAAAAGTCGTGGGTCAAATAACCGCCAAACTGTGCCTCTCTAAAAGAGAGCCATCTTAATCTGCTATCCTGTATCAGTCGAGAAAATAGAAAACTGAAAATCATTCGTATAAATTGCTAAATATAAATAAAAAATGCAGATAAATGTGAAAAGTATGAATTTAGGAAGTTTTTAATTTCTTCATGTATCACAGCAGATTTATTATTGCAAACCATTTTTCTCTAAACTAATTTACATTAAGGAGCATCATCATCAAACTTTTTACAAGGGTATTTACTTTCTAAATGACATTAATACATACACACGATTTAAACTTGTACATGATTAAGGCCTATCGAAATCATAAATAATATGTGAGGTTGCATGTATATTCGACACGTTCGATTGAAAGAATCGAAAGATCGATTTGACATTTAAGACAAGTCGCGAATATATGAACATTCGTGACGTCTTAAAAATAAGTTCCTTCACAGAAAATAACGTTCATAACAAGATTTTTTAATTTTATAAATTCACATTTTAGTCTGAACTTTTAACTGATATTATAGGTCTATATATGTATATAAGAAGAGAAAGAGGCCTGGTAGGAAGGTTTAACCTTCATTGGAAAAGTGGAATTTTACATAACTCATATACTCAGATCATTTAGGTGATTTAGATCACTTATATAACATTATAAGGTATATTCTCTCTCCTTTTCATATATACATACACATGATTTTCATGGTGAAAATAGAAGCACGCTCGACGCATAATTGGAAGGTCTGGAGTTCGAATCCCAGCAAGAGTAATTGCTGATTTCTTCCAATTTCCTGAATTAGAAAAAATTCTGAAATAAAAAATAAATAAAAATAATATTAGGTATAATGTGATTATCGGGACCCGAACTCGGCTTAACCGAACGCATAGAACTTTAAACTGTTAAAGTGTGCTTGTTTCTTTTCCAAGCAATTTCTTCAATAAAAAGATGAAACAAGCTTTTTAAATGTAGTTTCTTAATAACTAGATAACAATCAAGAGAAAGTAAATGAAAGTAACATCGAAGCTAACAAGCTATGAAATCCAGAAAAATCATCAACTAACATCTTTGATTTTACTTGAATTTTCCAAATGGAAATCAAACTTTCCCAAATGGGGAAAATTTTCCAAATGGGAATCAAGTGAACAGACGTATTTTCTGGATGTCTCTACTAAAAGAATTTTTTTATTCAAAAAATTATCGATTTTTTAGTGTCTTCTTGAAACTAGCGCATATAGATTTTTTGATATTCTAGATGGAATGAAATTTGAAATTTAGTTACATTTTTAAGGATAAATCACAGGCTCATTAAAATACGTGTACCTGAAAATCTGGTTTTGAGAAGTCTTAACCCAAAATATACACTGAATATTAAATATCTGGATCTTGGGTTTGAAAATATTAAACCAGTCTGAAAATTTATCTCGGTGAAGCTGCTTTTGGATTCGATAAAAAAAATGCCCAAGAAAGTATCAGTAACTTCAGTTTCTATCTTCAGTAAGTTTTCTTCAATATTTATATACGTTTATCTGCAAATGGCATTTGAAATCAGATAGGAAAATTCGTATAGTAGATGTCCGACGAAAAGAGATGAAGTAACAAATTATTGAAAATAAGTGAAAAAAGTAACATAATAATTAAACATGTAAATGCGTTTAATCAAATTATATGTAAAACTACTTAGATTTATATTTACGAGTACTAAAAATTCCAGCTAAGAAATCTGTCACTTTCAAGCGTCTTAATATGTTATTAAGTTTGTAATAGTGTCTTAATTATGTTATTAAGACATAACGAAGCTTTCAAGCGAATAGTATCTTAATTATGTTACTCAGACTAAGGATTAATTAAAAGCTATTCACATGTATATCACTAAGTTGGAAAGAATTCCTAAATTCTATCCATTTTGTCCCTATTGGATTATTTTCCAAAGTGAATGACTGCGTAATGATGTCATGTTTTGATTTTGACACTATAGCAATTGAAATTTTAATTTCTGAGTTAACAAATATTGATCATAATGCTAAGTCATTTCTTTGACTCTTAAACAATAAATCATTTAAATGGTTATTGAGTTATCAAAACTAATACTGATTTTAAATTTAATTTAATTAAATACATAACAAGCTTGCCCAGCATTCCATTGAATTTCCATTTAACTAAAGATCAAAGCATTCATGTAAAACGGAAATCTTAGAAATGTGAATCAATATATTTTTTGTTTTGCAAATGCATTTTTTCACTGAATAATTAAAATAGCGCACTGGATCGAAATCTATACAACATAAGCACTAGTAAAGGCTTGATCTGCTTATTTAAATAAGATAAAGTGTACGAGGGCATATTCTAAGAATATGGATTATTTTGCAGGGGACTTTCTGAAGAAAACTGGTTTGCATTTACGTCACACTTGGAGAAAACCAAGAAAATACAAGATCGAACAAGGTATGTCCAACAGTCTTTACCACTCGGACGCATGTAAGGAATGATAAAACACATTATTATGAAAGCAAGCTGTTAAATCAAATTCACTATTACAATATTACTATTATTCACCACCGCTCGGCCGCTGGTGGGCACATGGTTCACCAGCGGCCGAGCAGTAAAGTAGCTAAGCACTGGGCTTCGAAAGCTCAGCAAACAGGCTGGTTGCATTGGCGTTTTCGTGGTTTGCCCATGTGTGATCGATATACGAATAAGTTTTCGCTAGGAAGTTCTTCAGGAAATCCACCCTTCCCTTAGCAGATAGATGTTAAGTTTAAATTTAGAATATTAAGGATCACATATGTGTCTAACATATGAGCTTCGGTTAAGTCGACATTAAGGATCGCTGAAAAGCTGGCTAACCAAAATTGAGACACCCATATAATTACACAACTCCAGTCGAAATCTGAATAGTAGCCTAATTAGTAAATATAAAAATTAAACGTAATAAGCTTTTTAATTTCGAGCAAATATGGAGTATTATTAGTTAAACATCTCAATTTATACTCATAATTTAGTATTTTAAAGACTAATGGCTATTTATGGAATTTACTTTTGTGCAGAAGCATAGTGCGAATGAATCTTACTCACTTTGCTCAGATCCACTAGTGTTCAAATGGTAAAAGCCTCAAAACTCCGACAGTTTGTGTCGGGTACACTACCTGTGGTTGAATGATTAGAGGTATGGGATGCACGTAGCCTCTTGAATGCACTAGAGAGCTCAGTTCAGTTCTGAAGCATGAAAAGTGTTTTTTGAAAGTTCATTCTTATGCCCGTATACACGAGAAAACGAAGTTGCTTAGGGACACTGCAAAGTTTCCCTCACAGACATGTCGTCTGACAGCATTTTGTCTACCCTGGATTTTTTTGTAAGTTGCTCTGAGCTACTAAACCATCACAGCAGTTAAAGTAGATAAAGTTTTTATATCTAATAGGAGACCTCCATCGATCTCACAACAATTTTCAAAGTTTTCAATACCTTTATTTTTCAGAGCTTAATTTTTTAATAAATTGTAATCATAATAATACTAATAATAAACGCTGGCTTATTAACAGACAGAAAGTAGCAGTGATTAAAAACGCCTAGGGAAAAAAATTTAAGTACGAAGTAAATAAAAAACCGATAAAAAAATAAATTAATGAAACAATTAATTGTGAACTATACAGGGTTTTCAGAAGTCTCATCATATTTGGTGGGAGGTATGGAATATGAAAGAAGGAGATTCACATAGGGAAATGGGCCAGACCGCGGGCGCTGTGTACACAACTTCCATACATAAGCACAGCTGTTGACGTGTGCAGCCGTCGTCATTCGAATAGGTACATTGCAGAAGTAACATGAACAGGTATCGTGGAAATGAACTTTCTATATGCATGAAATGCCAGGCATATTCCAGAAGGTCCGGGTGTCCATGGAACGCCGGTCATGCATCTAGCCATGTCAGCACCTCTTGTAATCTGTAAACCGAAAAGATGTTACATGTAACATAATAAATGTTTTTTCTACTACTCTTTTTATCTGTTCTTTTATCATTGAAGGGGTCATTTTGCCCCCTACTACATGCATATGCGCCCCATGTATTCCTATGTGAATCTCCTTCTTTCTATTCCTACCTCCCACCAATATTGATGAGGAATCTACACCCTCTATTATATCCATATATATATATGAAGAAGATTAAATGGATTACTTCACATAAAGCATAAAATGCAACATACATTGCTGATAATTACATTCATAATAAAGCATAATTTTAAGTACATGAAAGAGGAAAAACAAATTTTATCACTTTATTTAAATAACGTAAAACGTAAATAACGTAAACGTATAACCTGATAATTATATTTACATAATTAGTATAAAATTATTATGTAAGTGAGTACATAATATAAAACTTTATGCAGAATAATCATACTATAACTTAAATCAGCGTTTTTCCGTGATCCTGTTCCTTCCTTACTATACATTTAATGCAACATTCTGTAAATAGATATTGCACAAAACGACAAATTTCTATAACTTTATTTTCTTCCCAACGTTTCAAACCAAAATTCTAATCAAAATAATATTCCAACAGGCCTTTTTTAAATTTTAATTTTGATGAGTGGCGCTGCTTTTTATTATCATAGATGCACTATATATTAGGTTATGGATGAAGGTTTAGTTTTCATGTCATGTTCGGCAACCATTCTGTTACGGTATTTATTTTTTGTCGACACAATTCCATGATACTTTTTACGTAGTTGCACATGGTAAAAGTTCCAATACATAATTTTTGACAAGTTTATGATATTCATCTTTAACTGCACAAGAATTCCACTAACGGCATTAATTTAAATTATTCTTGCTGCGATGAATCAGATGTCATTTAAATAAAAATTTCGTATTCTTCTGCTGACATGGTCAAAGTGTGGTTGACAATAATGGTTTCTATTACACACTCATTTTCAATTAATTGCTGTTCATTTGAAATAATAATTAAAGCTTACTTAACCTTTCGTGTAAGGATCTTAAGTTTACTACGTTTCTTTTTTTAATCTTTACGCACTTCTTATTTTCTACTTCGGCCAGCATAAGCGTTAGGTTTTTATCAAGTTGGTCTGGCGAACGCCAGTATTTAGTGTGGTTTTTGCCGCCGAGACGAGAATCAGTGAGTCGAAGCAGGCCCCTACCTTAGAAGTTACACAGTTGTTTGCCTTCCAGGCCAGATTTTTTAATCCCTTGATAATTTTTAAACGTTTGTAGTGTTCGCAGTCTCTGTACTACACGCTTCTGTTATATAAGCCATTTCCCGTTTATTTTAACGTTATTAGAGTTTAGTTTATTTTCTTTTTACTTAGACCCCAAGAGCGGGTCGGTGTATTCCGAAGTACGGAAGTTTGTAAAATAGAAAATGTGTGATGTCTTTACGGCAAAGCACACTAGGGCTATCGCCTAGGGGAGGGATGCCTTTCGTGGAGGACTTTTAGGGAAACTGGCTCGTTACGTTACACATGGGGAAAACACGAAAACACCCATCAGAGCCCGTTCGGGGATTCGAACACGGACCGACTACCAGTGTTCAGCGAGTTACCGCTCGGCGCTGGTGGGCCTAAATAGAGGAAAATAAAGGGTTTGTATACCCTTCTTGTGTATCCTGTTTACTTCCCACGTTGGAACATAGCTTAGTAGCTCTTTCCGAGTCAGGTCCTTGCATGTTCCCGAAGAAGGTTAGAAGGAACATTGAACCTGATAAGGTTATAAGGTATTTCTCCCGCCTTCCTAGCGTGCCTTCGTAGTGGTTCTGCACGCTGGGCCGGTATTCCAGATGTCCGTGTTTCGATTTCCGGCGAAGGCGATTGCTCATTTTTCATCTCTCCAGCTTTTCTAAAATTACCTAATGTCTCTTATAATGTGTTGAATAATTTTTCCAATAAATGTGTACCCTGTTTCAACCCTTTCGTCTTCTGAAAAAACTTTTTATTATTGGAAAGCAATCAGAGTCGCCGGAGCGCACATAAATTGTCCAAAATTCTATATTTTTCTTGAAAGCAAAAATGTTTCGTGAGTAGTAAATGTATTTACTTGTTTTCTCTGAAGTTAACCATTTAAATTTTAATGAAATGTTCACTGATCTCTGTAAAAATGTCGCTTAAATAGACAATTAAAGCATCCAATTTCTATCAAATAATCGGCTTCCTAATTCGAAACTGAGTTTTAAAAAAGCGCGCACCTCAACCTTTGGCTTAAAAATATGGGTTAGTATCTTTCCTTGGAGATAACCATTTGAATTCAGTATTGTAAAAGAAGATATGTTAATTCACTTCCCATGTCTTCGCACAGTATTTTTGAATAAACGATTATTTAAGAGCCGAGATTTTATGAAGTTAATAACATTGATGGCGCAATCAAGAGCAATCTTTTAATTTTAGGATTTTTTTGGGGGGCAACAAATGCCTGTTTATGCTTTCTGCCGTGGTTACTAGAACAGGTTTTGACGATATTTTTAATAAGCTGTCCAACCCTGTTAATTATGCCATTCATGGTCTTTGCTCCATCGGCACAGATATCAGTGCTGTTGTCTCATGGTAAATGTGTGAGTAATTATCGAAAAACAAATGTTTGTCTATTATCCTGGTTGAATTGCCTCATAATTTACATTATGGTTCCCGAGATGTGTTTCTTACTTCTAAACTTATGGAAGAGTATGTGTAACACGATGTTAAAATAATCAATAAAGTTTATCACTAAGCAAAAAATTAAAATATACAATGTTCAATCAATTTATATTTTATAACACTCAGAGATACACGTGATTATCAATTTGGCTACTCGCAGCACCCTTTTATATTCAATTATGAGAGATTCCCCTGTAGTTTTAAAACTGGGAACTTTCACTCTATTTTTAGATCTGTGGGAGTCTACATGTGTAGCGATCAATAAAGAAATGAGCAGAGGAATCACCGATAGTGGGCTGGGTTTGACCTAGTTGAATATGACAAAGCACACTAGGGCTATTTGCCTAAGGGAAGGGATGCCCTCGCAGAGGACTCTCTAAGGGTAACTGACAGCGCCATCACAACTAGCGACGTCAGACTGTCGCATTTGTATCGACTATCCAGATTAATAAGTTGAAGCGAGGACTGGTTTTTATTCTGTTTTTTATATAGCAGAGATATTAATTTTACATTTTAAGAAAGGCTAACTTAATAATATTTTACGTATAATAATAAAATAACGTAAAATTACTACTTGTTACGTTTAAAAATTTTAATAATTTTTGTATTCACATAACTCTGTTAATCGCAGAAATAAGACATTTATTTCAGTAGAAAAAAAAATCAGAAAAGAACTCAGCTGGATTTAAACTCTTAATCTGCTGGTTCGCAGAAAACATAAACACTTCAGTAAATGCGCAAAGCGATCGAGCCAGTTAGAATTAGCCCAAATGTTAAAAATCAATTAATAAAAAATCGGAAATATAATCAAATGCAAAAATACGATATATTAAGCTTTCCTTGTTTGTTAGACTTCTCGCAAAACAAGAATATAGTAATCCCTTTAATCAGGAAAAGATATTCCGACAGATTTAATTAAAAGCTAACAAATTAGTTTTAGTTAACGCTATGTTCGAAGAAGATTTAGTAAACGCTCTAGAGCTTACAATAGCAAATCATTTGTGTCAAGGTGAGAAAATACTCTATCAAATCGAAATAAGGATCCAAAAGAAATACTACATTATAAATTAAATTTGTTAGAGTAATAGCAAAAAATCCAAGGGCTCCACGTGTTATTCAACAAGCTAAACGCTGGGAGTACCTGCTATTGCTTTTCGGACACAGGATCTCCATATACAGATTCATTGATTTTCATTCGCCAAATTTGTCTCCTGTGACAATGTATCCCGTTATGTGAAATTATCATGATTCCCGGTGTAGGAGTCGCAGACATGTATCTGGAGTACTGGAGGTATGTTTCCCAATAGAGATGGACGAGAGCAGGCACCGCAGACGTCCAGAAATATATTTTTCGGAGATATGTTTCCTCGTGGAGCCTTTAGAAGGCCGCTACGAAGTTATCCCTAGGTTTTGGCATGGTAGGCGTTTCGTGCTTTACTGTAAGTAATTAATCAACTTGTGGCATTTATGTTCAAGTCTTACTAACGAAATATTATTTAATTTACTTCTTTCCATCTTGCCGCTTTTCTCTACGAATTTCTTTGATTCTAGAATTTACATATGAGTGGCAAGTAGTTTTACTATAAAAGCTATAGAAAAGTTTAGAAATTTACTAATTGAAGTGGGAGAGTTTGTCTTGCAATCTGATTCCAGGCTGATTAAAGTTTGTTGTCGACGCTAATGAGGGTTTGTTGTGAGTATTTCAGATTGAGGTTAGATTCTTTTTGCTAGTTTGAGTTTGAATTTCTTTCGCTGTCTAGGGAAGCTTGTAGTCTGTAGTCAGATTAAGTCTCAACTCTTGAACTCACACTCATTGCTGAAAGAAAGCTTTGAGTTTAAACCAGGTCCAGAATTTCTGGTAAATTTATTTTTCTATATTTTAATTTAATCCCTCACAAATGGTGAGGTAGAATAAACTTGAAATAATTTCATTATGTGTCTGTTTGTTGTTTGGTTATGATAATTCACCTCACAGAATATTGTCATTGTATTGAACCAAGCTAAGTTGTTTACAATCCACAGCAACGAAACACAACGGCGAAAGTAAGTGAGCGAAGTAGAATAAAATTCAAAATGTTCAATTCAAAGAAAGGTAACTGCTTAAAATTACATTTACATAAAAAATGCAACGAAGAAATCTGCCATGTCTAACTAAATGATGTTTTAATTACGCAATAACAATATTAAGGCGACGGCCAAATTATTTATTTGCTTTTTGGGTATAGCAGCACAGCTTTTACGTACAATGAAGCAGCCTTGTGATCATTTGTCTTTATATTCAGTGAAAACTCTGTCACGCAAGTAGTCTGCTTTGTCACGAGATCCATCAGTTAATACTCCGCAAAAATAAGCTGCTTCCGAATTATCAGTTCTTTAGTTGAAGGTAGTAGGAAAGATAATAACCCACAAAAACTAATGGCGTTCCATAAAATTTCACATTAATGAAACAGAAAATGGATTTATCGACAAACACATGAATTTTTAGAAGCAAATTAATTCAATTTAGGAGAAAATTATGCAATAACAACACAAATTTATATAAAATACTAAGCATCTAAATTAGTACGAATAATTTCTTTGCATAGTATATAAATTATTTTCCAATTAGATTGTAAATACATTTCCTCCTTTAAATTCATGGATCCAAGTAAATAAAAACCATTTCTAAGTAAATTTGTTTAAACTGTACCTATTTAGAAAACGGCAGCCCAATATACACTTCTGACAGTTGTTAAAGACGGATCTCAGAGTGCTCAGACGACATATGCCCACCATAAAGTGCAGTGAAGTTTTCCACACATTATGTCAAGCTTTGTAAAATATTATCCAGCGACTACTGAGGCAATTCATTCCAGTCGGTCTGTGCATGGATGAGATTGGAGAATATTTTGTTCGTTGGAGAATATTTTCAATCAGCAAATCCCTTTCTTATAGCGTTCAGTGGAGTTTAAATTTGGAGAATGTGCTGGCCATAATAGGCGTTGAATATTTCTATTGCTAATCTAAATCTTTAAGATTGAGTGTTTTATGGCATTTCGTCCATGAAAACGAATATTACTGAAAGCACCACAGAAAAGGTGACTATGAAGCAGTAGAACATCGATGTATCGTTGACCGGTCATACTCTAAGTTGCAACCACATGTAGAGAGATGCTGTCATTGATCATAATGCCGGCCCGTACCATGATACTATATCTCGGATTTCGGTCCCTTTCCTAGATATTTTCCGGACGATAAACAGTACCAATCTCAAGCCAGATCAAATGGCGCCCATATAATCCTATGACAGACTGCATCTACTCTCATCTGAGCAAGCCCAGTCTTATCCTGACCAACTGCGATGGTCACAAGACCCTTGCATATGGGCGGTAAGGTAATCTCAGAATACACCCTTTTTACAGGTCCTTTTCTACCAAACATATGACTGCATTTTTGCGGAATTTCCAATGCCAGGTGGCAGCAAGAAATTAATTCGCCACCTGTTTAGCTGTGATGCACCGTTTCCTTCTTGCAGAGAGGGCAATTTGCATTCTCCTGTAGATGTCGTACATCTAATAAGACCTCTCCGTGATGTTCGCTACACGTTACAGTAGTTTAAAGGCTTTCAACAGCGTGGAACAACTCTGTGGGCAATGTTGAAGTACTTGGCCAATTCTGTTATTTTTCGCCCTTCTTCAAAATTCCAATGATACGACCACCAGTAAAATTGTCTAGATGATATCAGAAAGACATACTGAAACTTTCAAGATCGTCAGTTAAATCTTTCCTTAAAACTGTCACACTTGATGCAACAACTGCCCGTGCGCATCAAATCCTTAAACCTTTTATGAGAGCTAGTACGTAATGAACAAGTAAGGGAATGATAATTTTTATATACACACCTCTTCTTACAGCATTCTACACTTCTATTGCTGTTTAGGTTTCCAAATTTTGCTTCCTTTCATTTTCTGGTTGCTGTGTGTGATTTTGTTTGCTGTGTTTAGCAGTTGTCAAGCAGTGAACCTGTATTTCTACTGAAGTATGCAGAAGTAGATGCACTATACATGAAAAGAAAAATCTAGTTTTAAATGAAAGAGATGATAATGTACTACTAAAGTAAATTCTAGTATACAGGTGGAATATAAGTAATACACTTAAATAATATATAACATTGAAAATATTAACAAGAGCAAAGTGCTAATATTTGAAACAAGCAGTTACATTATTCCCACATATACTGGTTGAAATGTAAGCCTTTTAACTCTAACTGCATTAACAAGTTGAAACTTTAACTGAATTTGTCCTCTTCTGCAGCCACGCTTACCTTACGGGAAAGAACAACACCGTAAAGCAAAAAGCAGCTATGTGTAAATTTCCATGACTTTTAAAAATTCAGAAAACGCTTAAGAAATTATGCTAGCTAGCAATCAAGACTTTAAGCAACGACTGAGCTATTTTTCGTGCATATCCGTTTGAAGAACTTTCGAATAAGAAAAATACACTGATCCAATATCCGGAAAGTATCCACGAGAAAAAAGAAGCAATACCCTTTTGTAGATTAATTTGCTGATAAATATTCTTGACAGAAGTTCAGAATGAAAGTTATGAAATGCGAAAGCAATCTGACTGCATAGTTAAAAGGATGAATTTTCCTTTGATCAAATTCCTTTGATCAAAAGTTTTAATTGATAGTTTTATTTTGAAACAGAAACTATCTTAAGTTAATTGCTCGCTGGTGCTTCAGTAGATTCTAGCAGTCTAACAACGAGAAGTAGAAGATCGCATGATTTCGTATTCCAGCAAGAATTCAAATCTTTATAATGCGTAAGGTTAATTTCATGGCTTTGACTATTTTGAATTTTTATTTATGCGCAAAAAACATTAAAATTACTTAGATTACAACAAATTATTTGCATTCTATTTCAATGTCCTTTATTTATTGCAAGACTTGGATGTATAACAAAGTCAAAATTTGCTTAGCAATAGGTTATAAGTATTTTAAGCTTTACTAACGTTTATTGTATTTTAAAACTTTACTCTCCCCTCTTATTTTCCACTTCTGGCCAGAATAAACGCGGTTAGTTTTAGTTATGCAAATTGAGCTTGCAAACTGTTAAGTATTTAAGTTGTGGCTTTTAGTCAAGAAGGAGTTAGAAAGAGAGACGTCGCCACCTCACTTCACGCACGCTATTCAGTCAGTTGCTGTCCGCCTTTAAGTCTAAAATTTATTCCTCTTGATACTAAAGATTTCCAGCATTCTGCGTACTACATACGAAAAGATTAAAAGACCAATCTTCCCATTACTAGTCTTTGTAAAGTATTTGAGTTTAGCTCTTAAATTGAGTTAGTTTGTAGTTCTTATTTTTACGTTTCAGACCATAAGTACTGGTCTTTGTATCCCGAAATGCGGGAACAGCTGTAAACTGTGAAGAATAAAGGGTAGTTAAACCCTTCCCACTTGTTTTTATCTCCTACACTTTCAGGAACATAGTTTTGAGTAAACTCCCTGTTCTTACTCAGGACTCTAGTATATACGCAAAGGCAAAAAGAAGAAATAGTAGTCCTGATAAGGTTAAAAAATAGTAGTCCTGATAAATGCAAATAGATATATTCTGTCAGTTCTTATTTCATTAAAGTTCTTATTTCATGATTAGTGTCATAATTTATACTAATACCATTCTTCAAAAGCCTTCATTACTTTTGTTATTATCATTCCTTAAAAATCAGATGAATTCATTCATTCTATTTAATATGTACAGATTTATTCCTGCGTCTTTATAAAGGTATACACTTTCTATAACACCAGTAGAGTTCTATTCTTTTCAACTGCAGTTGTTTTTGCTACTCAAGATTGATTAATTCTATGATGAATCATTTCTAGATCTAAATAATTGCATGCTTTTAAGTAATTTCATCAAAATATCTTTATTTTAAAAATATAATTCATATTTATTATTACTAATGAATTGCATGTCTATGCTAATCTGTATCCATCCTGAAAAACAAAATCAGATAGAGTAACCATATATTTTATTACTTTTGTATTATCTTTTATGAAAATCATTTTATAAATTTAAAGATGAGTTTATTTAATTTCAGATTATTATTAGCATATTTAGGATGAAAACACTTTTTGAGGTTCATAGAGTTTTAATTTAAGCTCTTAATTTAGAATATAGAAAACTCTCGCATACTTGAGTAATAAAGTGTAAAGAGAAGATTAAAGAGAAATACTTAATGGAGTTCTTATGCTAAGCAGCTTAAAATGTTAAGAAATATTTACTGGGGTTTCTTTCTCTCACTCAACAGAGTTTTCAAATCTCTCCAGAAAGAGTACGAAGTCTGACTTCACCTGCTTTGATTAAAAACACAAAAATTGTTTCCTTGGAAAACTTTTGGAAAGCCTGTTTTCCAAGATTCATTTTTTTAGTTTAGCTTCATTCATGAATTTTATAGGTTGAAATACAGAATTTGAGAAAATTAACTTTACTAAAAATGGAAGCAAATGACATTTAAACATTTTCATCAATAAATTACATTCCTCTTTCCCATTATTTTTGGTAGTAATATATCTATAAATTAGAAAAAACGTGCTTTAGTTTTGGTATGCAATAGTCTAATAGGTCACGTTAGCTTATGTGGATGTGCCAAAGCACACTCGTTGCCTAATGGGAGGGCTACCTTACAGGAGTATTTTCTAGGGGAAACTGGCACGTATTCAAGCTAAGAAGAGGAAAACCACAGAAATATCCATATAGCTAGACAATTTACCTGTGATCGCGTCCGAATCAAATTAACAGTATTCAGCTATTTTACCATTCAGCCTCTGGTGAGACTGGAACAAGCTGACAGAAACTGCCTAAAAATGGATTGCAATTTCAAAATAAATTAATACGGGTGTGAAAAGGATTAGTGAGCGATTTAGAGAACGTTACTGCGCTTGAACCAAATAACCGACTACTTTTAAAAGGCCCGGCTTCTTCCATCTCATATTTAAAAGGATTACTGGTATTGCGTTTGTTAAATAGTGATCAATGTGCATGCATTCGTTAATCTTTTAATCCTACTCTTACTTCTATTCACACTTTGTCTGGCGAGTAGTATATCATCGAAGTAAAACAAAAAGAGAAGAAGAAGAAAAATGAAAAAAAAGAAAGAAAGCGGTTAAGAAATGCGTTAAATCATTAAAAAAATGTGTTAGGCACGATACGGGACCCCCCCCTTCTTCTCAGTCGTTCTTAAAGTCGAGTATTATTAATAATTTAATGCTAATGTTTCCTCAGTTAATTATCATCATAATCTGGAGATCATTAAAATAAATTTACTTTATATATTGTTAGATGTAGTGCGTTTTGATTTATTATCCGTTTCATTTAACCCCACTTGCAAGCTTCATCACCTTAAAATGTTACTTTAATGAAGTCTGCTTCTTAACAAATTAAAATTAGAACGGGAAAGACTAACATATATTTTGCAGAATAGATTTTTTGAATCCAAACGGGATAAACTGAAGTGATCTGTAAGTTTCAAATTAGTTTAATATTTATTGTAATCTAAACCTTGAACTTCAGAGCAACTGCCTCTCCTTATTGATTATTTTAATTGAAATCTTCATTTTAGTTTTCTGAATGGAGTTTGCGTTAGTCTAAGAAAACCAAATTAGTCTATACTCACATTTTTTAAATTATTTGCGCAGAAATTAGCAAATTCAAATTTAAAGATTCATAATATAACAAATATATTTGGATCGTCCGTTAATGATATGGGCTAAGCTGAGTAGACAGAACATAATTTACTCAGGCTCTCCTTCATCTTGTCAAAACTGCATAGTCAGACGCAACAGTTACTGGCACGTTATCACGCATTGCTATTGATGCAGGTCAGTGAGACTGTGGAGCACCTATTGAGCACAAATTTTACATATTTTCAAATCTTCTTGAATTATCCTCTGTCGAGTTCTTCTGAAAATACCCGTTTCACAAAACATCTCATCCAAGATTATGCTTCGATTTTGTCAGTATCAAATTAGGCACTTGCTGAACTGCTGTTACTGTATGCTTTACTATTGATTTATCACTGCTCATTTCAGTCAAAGAGTTCCTTTTACTACACTTTGATAGAAGAATGACTCGGTCGAACTTGAACGTCCAGGGATATAATTTAAAGTTCGAATATCAGTCGGCGGAAAAGAATAAGATTCCATATGCAGTTTCGAAAATAAAGATGAACAAGGTCAGAAATAAAACCAGTTGCAAAATGTTAAGGTCTTGTTAACATCTAACACTCATTATAGAATTACAGAGGGATCCAAATTTTGGAAAATCTATGAGTATTTAAGCGATCCAAAGAATTTTTAGGTTGTAAATGAGGCAAAATTTAAAAGTAATACTGAGCATTGTTTTCTTCCCTCCGTTACAGTAAACTGCTGTATCACACAGCTAGAAACGTGGTCCCGTCCAGAGCCATCCAGATCCAGAAATGTGAGGAGAGAGGCAGTATTTAAGTAGTTAATCAGAAATAACTCTCCTTTTGTTATAACACTTGCCTCAAGGACTTCTGGAAACACCATTTTAATATTTACTTTTGCTTATTTCTCATTAATAATACCTGACAGCAAGTGACTTATAGGATCATGAATTTGGCACTAAGGGAACTGTAGCCAAACTGGGTTAAAGGCGAAGAATTTGGCCTAGTACATTTTTTTTTGTTTTTGTTTTGTTGTTGTTGTTGTTATCAGTAATATTGTGTCTCTAGATGCAGCAAAGAAAGGCGTTTGTGGAAGAAATATCTTAAGAAAAGAAGTAAGAGTGGAAACTTATCTTAATTTGTGAATGCCCAAAATTTGTACACATTGCGAAAAGATGCAAGGTTTTTACGTAACAATATGACCCTGATAACGCTACAGCATGAGCATTTCCAATGACAGTGCCATGTCTTATTTTGGAAACATTTTAGGTCGTAGATAATGAAAACTTACGACAAATTTTGGATAAAACAGAGACCTACATTGAGTCTTAAACTGAGTGGGTGTTAGAGACACAGATTAAAGAAG